AAAAAAAGACACGCACAAAACAAAATATCAGCCCCTTGCAAAACCACATCATCTTGCCTTCCTGCAGATTTGGGGGGGGTTGCCTGCTCGGGATAGCACTACATTCACAAATGGTGCGTCCGGTCCTATGCCACTCGCCCAGGCAGGTCCCCACCGCATCCGTGGGAGCTGTGCCCGGGCAAGGGCTGCGAGAGAGGGCCCTGTAGCTACACAGGAAAGATGCGTGTACGCCTACGCATGTATGTATGCGAGTATACATACAGACACATAGCCCATATGTAAAATAGAGAGATGACCTGTGGTCATGCTTTCACAGTCTAAGGTAAAAAAAATCCACTTGAGAGTATATATACATTAAAAACCGACTCCTCAGTGCTAGAAGCTAAAGCCACTCCATTTGAAGACCTCTCAATGACAACGATAGATGGCAACTACGCAGTATTATAAAAAATCACACATACTTAAAGAAAACTCATCGCAAACAACTGACCTATATTTACAATACTGCTATTACCTTGCTTGAACGATCTTGTGCGCGTATGTCAGACATTTACAAAAGATTTTTCGCCCCATTCTGATCATAAAATAGATACTGATCTCCAGATTTCTAATACTTTTTCACAACAATACCTTTCCTACGCAGGCACTTAAGTGTGACAAAAATAAGGGCCTTTTTTTTCCAGAAAATCCATTTTTAATTAACAGGAGGATTAGATGAATGGGGGTTGATGGTTTACCATTTCAGCATAGCACTTCCTAAAACCAGAGATAAACCACGAACTTAAGTCCTCCACCCCCATCCCGGAATTAAACAGGTAAATACACTACAATACATCTGCTACAAACTTACTGTGACAAGTAAACAAATCAATCGCCTATGGACTTAAATGACTGCAAACTATAGAGAAGTAATGCGGTTTCTTGAAAGACATTTATGACAGCCAAACAAGTTTCAGATATCAAATAATATTTTAATTTCTGAATACTTTCAATTTTCCTTGGAATATAACACACAAAGACTCGACCAAACAGTTCAGTTATTATAACTTTTACAGTATACAGAAATGTTGCACTTAAAAAAAAAACCTTCAGTTTTTTTAAACACAAAACTGTAAACTCTAAGATACTGAATCAATCACGTTATCTATAAGTGCCAACAGTGTTATTTTGTCATGCTGATTTCAATGGTATTTTTTAAAAAGGGAAAATATCAACAATTATTATAATACAAAGGGCTTGCAAATATACAAACAGATAGAGGAGTTTAATAACAATTCATGATGAACTATGTGGAACCCAATTCAAATTACAAAAGTTCACTTTGCTTGTTTGTTTGTGGTTTTTTTTTTTTTTTTAAATCAAAACCGTAGTGTGTCTTGGACACAAATTCCTTCTACCTATAATAAATCCCCACAGTTCATTTTCTGTCCGAAATACCAAAAAACCTAGATTTGGGGGTAGTTATATGACACGTGTGGTTCATTCGGGTCTCTATAATTATAGCTCTCTCAGCTTCAAGCTAGATTTTGGGTCACCACCTTAAGTGCGCTTCCATCATTGCGTTGTTGAGGGTTTTTTTTCTCTTTTCCTTTCTTCCTATGATACTTTCGTGGACTCAGTTTTAATTCTTTCAGAACATATATTTTAAGGATACACAGGTTTTTTTTTTTTTAAAGAAGCCAAGGTTATATCAAAAATTATTATAGAACCACAGAATAAACTGGTTTGAAACCAGAAAAATACAAAAAAGAACAGCTATAGGTACATAGACACATAGGACAATTAATAATTTGGAAAAAAAAGACTTACTTTCTTCCGTTCTGCTAATTTTCTCCAAATTTCCTTTAAATGCACTTTAAGCAAGATTTTTTAAAAAGTTTACCCCAAAAAAAGAAAAAAAAGAAGAAAAAAGAAAAAGCCCACTATCGTTTCTTTTCTTCTTCTTTCTCTTTTTTCTTTCTTTCTTTTTTCTTTCTCTCTTTTTTATTTTTTACAAAAAATGATAAGTAGCAAGTTTTTTTTTCTGAACGACACGGGAGTTTTTAATGCATTCTGTAAAAGTTCATTTGACAGTCTCTTTTTTTAATTCACAGTCCATTAATTTTTTCCTGTCTTCTCTTAGCAAACTTGTAACATCCTTTTACATCCTTTCTTAGCAGAAGGAAATTTAAGAAACAACCAGAACCCAAATGTCATTTGCTTTCCTTTCACTCTCTTTCATCTCCCTTCTCAATTTTTAATTTTTTTTTTTAAATTTTTTTTTCCTCTCTCGAATATTTTATTGAATGGACATATAAGGCCAGTTAAAACTGCTGCCAGACAGTAACATATCCCTGATTAGGGTTTCTATGGGGGTTTTACCTACCAAACGGACGAAAAACAATTGCTCTATGACAGAAGAGGAGACAGTGCGAAGGGAGGGGAGACGTAGTAATAGCTTCCCGAATCGTGTTGGCTGGTTGGGATACTGGCTCCTAACATACTCTTCCAAAGCACACTGTGACTTCTCCTGTAAACTTTCAACATGGGCTACATCAGAGAGACCACAGGCATCTAGAAGAAAGTGTATTAAAAAAAAAAAAAAAAAGAAAGAAAGAAAAGAAAAAAAGAAAACAATCATCAGATTAAAAAAGTTGTGGTTTTGGTTTTTTTTTTTTTTAATTTTTAATTTGATCTCTTTTTTTTTGTTGTTATTGCTAGAATTAAGCGTATAGCTCGTGCGCCATCACCTCGCCCCCCCAGGGTTTAAGTAGGTTTTACCAAAAGGGACAAGCTCCCTCTCTTTCTCTGTGTGTGTGTGTGTGTTTGTATTTCGCTCTCTTCTGGAGGGTCTCCTTTAGGATCGAGAATCTCCAGGATTCGAGCTTTCTGATGGCACGACAGACCTCAGGGGCTGACAAGGAGGTGCTGGCCAAGCGTAATTTCGTATATCTATATTTTTAGGGGGAAAGAGGTTTTACCAAAAGGGACAAGCTCCCTCTCTTTCTCTGTGTGTGTGTGTGTGTTTGTATTTCGCTCTCTTCTGGAGGGTCTCCTTTAGGATCGAGAATCTCCAGGATTCGAGCTTTCTGATGGCACGACAGACCTCAGGGGCTGACAAGGAGGTGCTGGCCAAGCGTAATTTCGTATATCTATATTTTTAGGGGGAAAGGCTGGGGGGATAGAAATCCTAATAATAATAAAAAAACTGGCCCAGCCAAAGATAATGGCGCCCCGGATCCAGCAACAGATTCTCCCCCAAAGAAGACAACGCGTTTTTCTTCAGTCTTTGAAACTGATTTAAGTGGCCCTTTAAAACTGATCTTGTCAGTTTAGCCTATTCAGAGGCAGCCATGCAAACTGTGATCTCTCTGTTCATTTGAGCTGTTTCTTTTCCCCCCTCTTTTCTTTTCTCTTTCTTTCTTCCCCCCCCTCCACTCCCCCCTCTTTTTTTTCCTCTTCTTCTTCTTTTTAAACCTAAAGGCCCTTACAAGAAGAAAACTCCCTGATAGGGTCTGGACATTTTTTTTTCTTTTTTTTCCTGATACGCTAAAATACAATAAGTTCCCTTTAAATCAGAGACGTCTGTGCTGAAAGAGCACAGGTTGTGACCTGACCTCCCTGTGGCTTTCCTAGGCACAGGGCTAACACATGCATATTCTGCGAGTCATTAGAACCCAGATTTTTTTTCTTCTTCCCCCCCCCCCCCTCAAAAG